CAGGCCTTTGTTACATTTTATTTGAACACAGAAACTATAATAAGTGTGTAAGTAAGTCACAACTAACAGCAGACTTCAACAGGAAAATGAAGTCTCTTTCAATTCCACAGGCCATAAACAATCAAGGAGTACTGGATCTTTACTTGTGGAGAATGCTTCCCTGAACACCACTGGAAGACAATACAGAGATATAAACTTTCTCTATTGAAAAAGCTTTAAAGATAAGCAGGTTTAGAGCTTTTAAAAGCCAACATTAACCACAAAATAAATAATATAACAAAACTCCAAAATAAATCCTGTTTACTATGTTGTTATTATTAAAATCCTTCATTTATAACATCTGTATATTCTAAATGTTGTTCTAATGCCATGCTTTCAGTGTATTATGTCATTCTGACACAAAGGTGTACTGTGGGCGTACTGGAGAATCTGTTGTGTACTCGCTGAATTCCTTTATTTAGATCTGACTCTGGCTGACCCCGGAGCCACCATCTGTCCTCCTGCGTGCCAGGGGAGGTCGTACTGTTCAAACACTGCCCCCGCTGTTATCAAAGAGCATTGCTCCGCGCGGCCAAGTCGCTCCCTTAATCTTTTAACAGTGTGACGAAAAAGCACCTCATTCAGCAACAACCGGGGCCTGACGGAAGTGTTTTTTTATACTGTATGATATTCATAGGTTTCAGTGTTTTGTAGGCCTACATTGTGAATTTATACAATTGAAATCAACACAGAGCCTGCAGTTTTGGAGGCAAAATGTTCCTTCAAGTGTATCATTCCATCCTTAAATAAAGAAAGAATCCAAAAATGTAATAAAGAAAAACTAGTTATGTAACTTGTTTTGCTCGTATTCTCATTCTTGCATTTTTTTCTTTTAATATTTGGCTGCAGTGTTATTGTTATTACATTATTTCTATCCATGCATCATTTTGTAAAACTGGTCTGAATAATGGAGCAATAGTGCATCAGTTATTCTGGCCAGTGTCCCCCTCGCCCCACTGCTTACCCTCTGGTCCTTTCTCCTCCTCCCTCCCTCCCTCCCTCCTTCATCTCCTTGGCCTGTCCTGCGGTCGGAGGATGGAGGCTCCAGATGGTCGAGTACCGGCAGCAGAAGGGCGACCCTCGGGGGGCACAAAGGCCTGACAGCGGGGAGCCAAATATGACCTGAGTCAGACAGCTCTTTAGCACAAAATTAGCCTGGGATGAACGCGTAACACAATTACATGCTGTTAATACCATCAAAGAGGTATTTGCGGCGCCTGTTGTGGCCTTTGCAGCTTAACTGGCCTAATTTGGAAAAAATGTCACAGTCCTTTCAGAAAAGTTGACATTTAAACATTTCTCAGATGATTACTGCCTACATAAAACAATTGTTCACAAAACAGCTACGAGGATATGATCTGTATATCCTCCAGTACGACTTCCAGGAGTGAAAGATGGACATTGAAACGTCTGCAGGGAATGTTAGCGTCTCAGATCATGTCAGAGGCTGCAGGTAATGTGTCTAAGGACTTAATGAGGGGTTGTAGGCTGGTGTCCCACAGGCTCAGCTAGCCAATGTGTTTGTAGTGCCAGACCTTCCACACAACAAAAACACTTCATAACTGAATCTCCCTGCTATTTTTGAATGCCCCCCCCCTCAACACAAGCTGTTACATTGTCTGTACGATGGATCTGAGAAACGTTTCTGTGTGATACAGTGCTGATATTAAACACATTTCCAGTTGGGAGTCTCGTTTGAGATAGTAAATATAGTGTAGGTGTGAGGTTTGAATTACAGTGAAACGAGTAACTGCACCACAAGAGGTCACTACTGATTCAAATATGATGCTTAGTCAGGCACAAATGTCACATCTGACAGGTGGCTATTTAAATGTGCAAGCTAGTTATTAGCTGGTTCCCTAATTGGTGCAGAGTGAGAGATTTAGGGCTCATCTGTTCAAATACATCACTGTCTGCATCTTCCTTTCCAGTTTCACTGACACACTAATGTTCGTCTTCTCTGTGGTTGGGTGTGGACATTGAGCCTTAAACTGCAGTTCAAGGCTGGAATACAAAGCTTCTCAAAGGGATACGATCACACCGGAGCCAGAAACAAACATTTGGGTTGCAGGGCCTCAAGAAAAAAAAAAAAAAAAGTACAAATTCGTAACTTTTTAGAGTAACTCTGCTCTTATATGATGATAATATTAGTGAATTTCATTTGAATTGGCAGGAACAATATGCTTGGTACATAGAACTGAATGTAACACAAGGACTGGGTAACATTCTGGTCAGATAAGCATTTGAAATAATCCCAAGTGGGGGAACATACTTGCATCCAACTTGCAAATTGCATGCATGCATGATAAACATTATCATATTAACTGTGTCCAAAGAGGCCAAATACCACATTTGGATGCTCTTGAGGTATACTGTAACAGTATGATGACTTGTGGTCCAAATACCTTACATCAGATCCTTACATACCTCTTATTGTCTTCCAGAGTGAATTCAGTTTGCACATATCAAGTAATGTAAAAACTTTGGAAAAAGCCAGAAAGAGACTTTTGTGGTCCAAACTGCATTATTTTTCTCAGAAAAAAAACAAATATCATCATTCAATATTACTGTGAAAACTATAAAATAGATGACGAAGCAAGTACTAGAACATTTTCCAGCTTGCACAAATAAATCACTTTGTATTTGGTTAAACTTACTGAGGTCTCATCTTGGAGAAGAACATTTAATAAATTGTGTCTACGAGAAACTTTAGTTATACTAAAGTCTGTCTTTAGGGAAACTGTGAACTATAAATTTGTGCTGAGTTGGTGTCACTTCCCCGCTCTAATAAAACAGTCACTGTGCAAGGTGGTTCTGACCTTTGCCTCTCACTACGCTACTTCACTGTTGCTTGTAAAACTACTGAGGCACGTTGTCCTGGCTGATTGTAGGTACATCTGCTCAATGTGTAAAATGTAAAGTAAGCCTGCTACAACACCTCCAACTGACCCCTTCACTAAAAATAGCCCATTTATTCATCCTCATCCCGCCAGCGTGATTGCACATTTCCTCCTTTTGTGAAAAACCACCACGAACAAGTGCTCATATTCTCCAAAGTGGAGGCTGTTTAATCCGTTGTGACAGCTGCTCTGGCTGTGGTCGGTGGCCGGTGAGTGCTCCAGCTGTGTTAAGAGTTAAAATAGTCTTGCAGCTGTGTGCTGGCATTAAATGGTGGAGCGATCCCATTTAACCAGTGCCCATGTAAACCACACACGCTTTCCACATACTTGAAATTCAATGGCTCTTCTCTCTTTTCATGTTCTCACTAAACCTTGTGTTTCAGCTCTTTTTGGCCTCATGGACAATTTTACCTTCAATCAGGAGACGGAGCAGGGATATCTCAATGCACAATCTGTTTTTTTGTTATCATCTCAAATGATGAAAATCAGACTCTTTCTAGGAATGTAATTGGATGCAATCAGATATGAACACTGCTGTAGAACTTCTCTGTTTAAGGAAAGCTGGAGCAAAGGTGATCTACTGGCTCAGGTGTGTCTTACAGTAGCCCGGTCCCTTTGGTGCAGCGTGTTCAGCGGTACATCCATGGGGACCATGTGCCGCAGCAGCTGCTCCCAAAAGCTCCCTGGATGGATATGGACTGCTTTTCATTTGGGGGTTTGGTTCAGTTTCAGACTTGGGTGGAACGATTGACTCAAAATAGGAAAGGAGCAGGTGCACAAGAAGCCCCCGTGGCTTTTTATCGAGTGATGATGTATCACAGAGTGCAGTAATAAACATTTCACTGCAGAGCAAAATGAAACGTAGGGCTATGAAGGAAATGCGCACATTCATTGATAGATCAATAGACTTTAATTTCTTATAAAGTCATCCTCTATTAGTAGTCCTAACGTCTGCTTAATCCTAATTCTAACCTTAAATCTAAGCCCTAACCTTAAACCAGTTCACAAACAAAGAGGGACCAACAAAATGTGTTTGACTGAAATGACTTTAGAGGACTTTACTGAACTCTCTGTCCTTGTGAGGACCGTCTACAGGCTGCAGCTGCTGCAATCTGCATCGCCTTCAACCGGTGTATTGATTTTAATATTATGTTTGAACCACTGCTGTGAGGGCAACATTGCTTCCCTGCGCGCCAAACACTACCCATCCTGACCACAGTGGGGGGCAGACTGCCACAACTGTGGCCTTCCCTGCTCCTCTGATGCCTTCATGGCCCACTCGTAAACTCTAGCTTCAAAAGTTAGAAGACCCAAACACGATTTTTCCCCCCAGCTTTTTTCTTGCAGAGGGATATTTTCTTTGGTTTATTAAATATGCAGAAAGGTTTTGTTGAGAGAGTTTATTGAATTCCTTAAGATGAACACATTGTTTAATGGGACTGTGACAGGGGAAGGAAACGTGGTGACAGTTTTATTTACTTTTTTATGATATCTGAAGTATTGATTAACTTATTCACAACAAAGTGAAACACAGGCACAATGTATAAGTAATTGGACAGGCAGAGCTACTTAATGCTGCAGCATCAAGCCAGGAGACGACAGACTGCACATCTGTGGTGTTTATTCATTTATTTACTAAATTGCTGCCGCTGTTCTCTCTTTAACACTAAATATAGACTACAAGACAACATTTGCCTCTAAGATTTAGTGGAGTAGCCTAGAAGTGAAAAGTTGCATAAAATGGAAATAAACAGAACAAGTTCAACAAAATAGACACGTACAACTGTACCTATTAGTGTATGTCTATTTGGTTTAACTTGTTCATTTATGCTGTAAGTCTGTGTTTGTACATTGAGAGCAAGGTAAAACCGGAGTCAAATCCCTTGTATGTGTGCACATACCAATACAGTGATTCTGATATCTGCTGCTATCCCAACATCAGGCCTCAGGGTTTTTTTGGGGTTCTCTGGAAATAAAATAAAAGTACATCGAATTTGCACTTACGTGCACTCAGTTACATTCCACCACGGATCACATTTGAAATCATTAACGACAACTTTCTTGCCCTTTTTCATTCACGTTGTTGGATCGTTCACTCTGAATTCCAACATTCCCGAACGCACCTGAACGCAACACGTGACCGAGCATTATCTCAGCAGAGAGAGGGAGAGAGAGAGAGAGGGAGAGAGACAGGGATTGGGACCGAGGGAGCGAAGGAGGGAGCGAGAGAAGCTAAACAGGTGGTCAGAAAACACACAGAAAACAATGTCGTCCGGCGGGGAGAAGCGGAAAGACCTTTAGTCCTCGCTCCTGCTCGGGAACACGGGGACAGCCGCGGAGCCCAACTAACAAACACACAAACAACCCATGCCCCTTCTTTATTTTCACACGGATTCCTCCTCCTCCTCCTCCTCCTCTCGGTTTTACTCTGAATCTGGGCAACATCTCGGGATACTAAAACCATGAAAGTGACGGTGTGTTTTGGCAGGACCCGGGTGGTGGTGCCGTGCGGGGACGGGAATATTAAAGTCCACTCGCTCATCCAGCAGGCTGTCATGAGATACAAGAAGGCGATAGCCAAGGTAAGTGGCGGCTACTTTGCTTTCTTGCGGGTTTTTGTTTTCCTGGAAACAATGTTGCGACGTCCGGAGGGGAGGAGGGGGGAGGCTCTGCAGGCGCACTCAATATGGCGCTAACTTGGAATACATGCAAAGAAGAGGGGAAAAGGGGAAAAGGGGGTTGCCTGTTTTCTGCCGGTTTGTTCCCTTAATGAGGACACACAGGCTGCGTGTGTCGCTGCTTCCCAAAGAAAGGCGCACCGCCATTGTGGTTCTTGTGTTTGTAAACCCACCAAACTTCCCTCTGGGATTCGGACTGTGGCACCGAACAAAGTAGCCCGCTGATAGGCACTGAATGTGACTTCTTTTGTTTCTTTATAGACGCATTTGAGCCCCAGCACACGTTAGCAGACGTAGTAACCCCGCTGTAAGATTTTGAGTTGATGCCTGTGGAAGTTGCCAGCACAGATTAGCCTACTAGCCAAGTTAGCCAGCAGGCTGCAAAAGTAGGACTGCACGGTGTGAGGCGTTCAGGCTCCAAGTGCAGAGCCGTGTCATTAACCAGAGGAAAGTCCTATCCGCTTAGTGTACACTCTTTTTGGGGTTTCACAAGAAAACACCCACAAGTTCCACACTGTTGGACTGAATGAAGTCATTGTGGGGGCAGCAGGCAGGGTTAGCTGCGAGCAAAGACTGATGGTGAGAGCTGATCAGTGATGCTTCAAATGCAAGAGGAGGAAGACTTTTTATTGATAAGTTGTGTTGCATTTGTAGGTCTATATGCAGAGTATTCTAGGAGAAGCTGCCTTGAGTTGCATGGCTGTGTGAGCAGGCACCAGGCCCTGCAGGAGAGGGAGGGGAACTGCAGTGCCAGGCTCCAGCTGACTGCTGCAGGCATGGACCCTGGCTGACAGCATAAATCTTGGAGATAAAAGTGAAGCGAGGGAAACTCAGAGCATGGTGTTGGGATAGCTGCAGATAACCTTTGAACTGCTTTATGTGCAAGGCTCTCTCTGGCGAGATCAGATAAGGTGGGATTTGTAGATTTGAGTGAACAGGAGCGTTACGTAACAGTTCTGTTATTAGATCTGTCCCTCAATCATAGAAATTAAGTTCATTCTACCAAAGATTCAATGAGACCTAGTCCTTTCTGGCCTCCACATCACAATATCTTTGCCAAATTCATTGTGTGTGTAAAAACCTACATTTGGCCCACACTCAACACTATAATGTAACTTTTCTGCACATCTGGGATTCAGACTTCTTTTTAAAACTGGAAACCATGGTAACAGTAAATTCAGGGCCCGTAGTCGATGCCAGTTTGTAGTTCGATTAGTTTGCTTTATTGTCCTTCCTTTTAAGGTACGCACATGTTCCAGCAGCTACTCAAGTTTCATGAATAATAAAAACGCTTTTCCTTTCCATGTGCTAAATTTAAGGCCGTCTTTTTTTGCTGTAATGATAGTGACCCAGAAGTCATACTGTATCCTCCTCTCCTTTGAATAATTCAGTGTGAGCAGACAGGAGTGCGGGATAATATCTCTGCGTGGAGTAGACAGGCAGGTAGAGCTGCTGAACCGTACAGAGAAGATGACTAACTTGTCTTTCACTTCATGCACATTTGGATTTATTGTTCTACCCTAGAAAGAGGGGGAAAGACGTGTTATTCCTCTTGGATTTGGAAAGTGCCTGCAGTGTGTGGCTTTCTCCAACACACACAGTAGCTGCCGTGGTTTCATAACACGGAACATTCTTATCATTGTCACTTTAGTTTTCCTTTAAAAAGAACTGAATGTGGGTGATAGTGCAGGAGTTATGCTGTCCAATAAAAATCTAACTTACTGTAAAACAGACTGCGACAGGCATTGTGTGGTCCCCTGTGTGTGTGTGTGTGTGTGTGTGAGATAATGTTATCCAAGATGCTGTAATGGTAGAAGTATGAAGACTCGTACATCATCGCTGTCCACTTCGACACAGCCTTTCACTTCCATGTGGATGTGAAGTCTTCAGCATGCTTCAGAGCAAAGGAACATGCACCAGAGAGAGAATTCTATCTCATTCATAGGGACATACTAAAGTTAGCCCCTCTTTATTAGTGACAGGCCGATTAATCGGGCTGATTATTTGGCATTTGGAGCCGGTGTGCTCACGATGCCGATCAATAAAACACGTCTTCAGACACATTCGCAGGCAGACATGTCAGTGTGGCTGTTACGGGACAATGTTCTTGGGGATTTTGGGAAGGTGGAGAAAAGTTTCAAGTGCTGTAATTTAACTCCCAAGCATCGTGCTGTGAACACATGCCTGGATGTCCTATAGAATAAAAACACTGCACATTGATTTTCTTGGTTTTGATATCGGCATAATACATCGGCAGCCCAGCTCTTTAATATCGGCACATATCGGTCGACCACTGCTCTTTAGGGCTGCGCTATATGATATGGGTATTAACACTTGGTGAGTGTCAAAGTCAGATATTCTAAAAGAAATGCCTTGATCAGTAAGTATCGAGAGCACCACAGAAACATTTTATAAATAATTTGCTATTTGAGCTAGAATAGTAAAATAAGCTCAGTAACCTCCATCCCTTGTCTGTAATTGAATCATAAAGGTTTAAGATGCATTGCAATATCACATAAAATATTTAGTATCACATATCAGTGTTATATTCCTTTATTGCCCAGTGCTAACCCTCTCTTTGAGGTTATCGGCACATTTAGAGAAATGCAGTTGTTTGGAAACCCAACTGTGCTGCTGTGTACTGCGGAGGCTGGCTTGTGTCTGCGTGCTGGAAAAGAGCCCGCACGTTCAATTCTCATTCTCTCTTCGTCAAGCTTTGATCTAAAACCTAAAATAAAATTAAAATTAAAAAAAACCCCGGAGCTCCTCATGAACTCCTCACCCACAACAAAACACACGGCCTCAAAATACAACACCCTCGTCATTTAATCACCACAGATCTGCGTTTATTACTCCCGTCCCACCCTGCGTGCATTCCGTCTGACCAGGGTTGGGCATTCTCATGGCTCGTGTAGCGAGCGTGTCGGGAGGTCTTGCAGATCGCAGATGCTGTGTTGAAGATCGCAGCTTTTTTTGGTCAGCACGTCTTAATAAGAGGCCCAAATTTAGGGCGTTTTTTTTTGCTTCAGTGTTTGTATGGACCTTCTTGTAACTTCCCCTGTCATTAGAGAGGAATGCTTCCTGCAGAAAAAAAAAACAAAAAAAACCCCAGTCCACTTCTGAGGGGCCTTGAACCCTCCCATAACTTTGGAATGAGAAAGACGAGGACACCAGGATGAGTGTGTGTACAACACTCTTACTGGACTTGAGGGAGGGAACAGCTTGGCCAGATTCTACGTCTCTGAACATCTTGAGAAGTAAAGAAGTGTCAGATTATCCTCCACTGCTCTTTTTCCTTCCACAGATCATAGGGTAGATTCTCACTAATGTTCACCCATTTGACTAAGTGTGGCAAGCGTTTCAAATGACACCCTTGACTGGAAAACTGTCTGGTGGTTTAATGCTCCAAACCCTCAAGTGACGTAAGCAGTGGCACGTCAGGAGAACCACGAGGTTTGTCTTTATTTGACTGTTCCTAACGCTCAGAAGCCTCCGGGGGGATATCAGGGGTCTGGATTGATGCGTTCACACACCAGCACACAGCCGATTTCCATTCACAGCTTGACACTGCTGGAGTTTCCTCCGGTAGAGTCGAGGCTATTGTGTACATACTTGACCGTTGAGGCAGACAGATTTAACGTGACTTTGACCTGTCGCAGACAATAGGAGCAGGTGTCGGACTGGTTGAGGGGTTTTCTTCGGAAACATGCAGTTGAAAATAGGGCTGCGTTGGGCTTAATTAATCCAAAATGTTGGTTCTGAAGAACCTGTTAGGGCTGCAACTCGTGTTAATTTTCATTATTGTTGTTTTAATATAGAAAATATGTCACCAGTCCCCAGAGTCTGAGATGGTGTCTTCAGACTGCTGTTTTTTCTAACCAACCATCCGAAATAATCTGAATTTATTATTTACAATTGTATAAAACAAAAGAAAGCATTAAATTCACACATTTAAGAATCTGAAACCAGTAAACTCTAGTTGATGAATTACATAACATTATATCATGCCAGGCTTAAGATGAATGCTGACGTTTGGTGTCCTCTAATATTGAAATGCTTTCTACTTTAAGATTTTTTAAAATTCTGGCTAATGGGTGTTTTGTAGGAAATCATTGGAAAATTATAGTTTTTTTTTTAACTTTATGTCATGTAGAAATAATAAAAGGTTACATTCAATGGCAGATGTGAAGGAAACGCATGCTGAGGTAAATTTCACAGGTTCCATCTATAATGATCAGTGACTTAAATATAACCAACCTCAATGTGGATTGAGCTCAGAAAATCATCACATTGGAGCTTTGCTGTCGCCGACCGACTCTAATCTGCCCGCCTGTTTTTAATCTCGTCCTGATGTCATTGCTCTGTGCCGTAATGTGCTCAAGATATTACTCAATTCACTACACAAATGACTGTTATTAATTAGTGTGCAGGAGCCTGGGACGGCTGCGGGACCTGGAGATAAGCAGTCCGACATGCTGTGAGTGTTAACCGCTCATGTTACGGTCGTACAGATTAACACATTCACCGCTAGATGTGTGCCACACGTTCAGAGGAAAACCAACTTTTGAAGTGGGCCCAATTTTGTTCAAAAGAGGCACATAACTGCATGCGTGAAAGGGACATCGAACTCAGTGTGATAATGATCATAGTGGTACGTGTCCCACAGTGTACACTGTGTTTCACACCGAGCTTGTTTGCCTTCCTTACCTCAAACACAATGGTTTGTTGCCGTTCCAATGTGTGGTTTGTCTAAAGTGTGTCTGTTAACCACAGTTGCCAATTTTGACACATGCACGGTAAACTGAGACCCATGTACCGGTTGGGCGGACCCTTTGAGTAACGCTCTACTCGAGTGCATCCATTTTTACAGGCTGCAAAGAAATGGAAAAAACAACCACGCCTTG